TATTTTGCTTGTGTGGGGTGAAAGAGATAAAAGATTATTTAATGACAAGGTGGAAGAGGAGGATTTTATTCAAGACATAGAGTCATATACCTAGCCTCTCTTTAGGCATCATTGTTTAGGGGCATTCCTTCTAGTACAATTCATTTAGAATGGGCGGGAGTTTTTAGTGGATTGTAACTTAATTCTCTTTGTACTATGCTAAATGCTTGTTTTCAAATGGACTTCTTGTCCTTTTTTTTTTTTTTTTGTAACCATATTTCGTTTTACTGAAAAAGTTTATGTTTCCTATCTAAAAGAGAAAAAAGAAAGAGTAAAAGAAACTCTGCCTCAACTTTAGTCTTCTTTTCAATACTGGTGAAGAATATATTTTGTCTAGATTTTTTATCTGTCATTAACTCATCTGCATGTTTACTTTCTGCAGTTGCTGAATTTTGTGGCAATGTGGAGTTATGCAGGCTTACTGAGCAGGTTGTTTTTTCTGATCCATACAAAATATCTCAATATAACCACTGGACTTCTCCTTATCTTGATTCTGATGCTGAGGCTATACGGGAGGATAATGCTTTGAAGCTCGAAGTTGCTGAGTTGAAATCTTTGTAATGAAACTATCCGATCTTAGTAGCAGATTAGTCTCTATGCAATTGTATCATTTTAAATTGTCATCTGAATGGTCAAGTTGCCTTTTTCGGTAGGTTCTGTGAGAGAGCCCAAGCCCTGATACATGGAGATCTTCACACTGGTTCTGTAATGGTGACTCATGATTCAACTCAAGTTATAGATCCAGAATTTGCATTTTATGGACCAATGGGTTTTGATATTGGCGCTTTTCTGGGTAACTTGATTTTGGCTTTCTTTGCACAAGATGGGCATGCTGATGAGCAGAATGATCGAAAAGTAAGCTCTATTCCATTGTCCTTCACTTGTTTTCAACTATTATTTTCAAGTATTTCTGTTCTTATTACGTGATTTCGTTTTTCAATGTGGTATCTATCTTTTGCATCTGTTAAAGCTATTCTTAGATAATTTGTTTTGGTCAGACATACTATACTGTTAGATAGATAATTAGATACTATATTTTTCTAAATTGTTGTTAAATATTTGGTTCTGGAAAGAAAAAGAAAAAAAAGGTTATTGCTCCCCTTTGTCATCTTTCAAGACCTTGCTAATCGTCTTAGCAATTTGATCAAGTTGATCTCCAAGATTTCTCTAATAATTTCACCTCCGTTCATGCTCGTGAGTAGTTTTTCCTTTTTGAGTTCTAACCATGGAATACAATAACCATCCATTTAATCTTGTAGCATGTAAGCATCTGTCTTAATTTCTTTAGTGAAATCAGATGTGGGCTTATGAGTGTTCATGCTGAAGAACAGACAATATTAATGAAGTTAAAAACTTAATTCTTTTGGCAATTTTTTAGAAACTTTTTTTTTTTTCTCGGTACAGTATTTAGAAACGTTTTACATTATAATGAAAGGATAACACTTTGACAAGGTTATCCCAATTCAGTTATCAAAATATAGTCTGCAGAAATTGTGATCATGTATCAATAGTGATGTGCTTGGCAGTTGGAATTAGATTTTTTTCTTTTGATACCCAGAAATACACCAATCCACTTCGTTGATACAGCTTTGAAGATTAAGATTTGAACGGATGGCATAGACACAGAGTTGGTCCTTCACAGTTTGATGATGGATTTGAAATTTCTTTAGCTTCAATTGTGAGAGGAAGAACATTGCTGTGTCTGGAATATACAAGTACTTTTTTTTTAAATTTAAAAAAAAAAAAAACTTTGTGTGTAGGTGTTTGGATACTATTTTGGTTATTGTTGCTGTTTCAATTTTGGTTGGTAATTTAAATTTTTTTCATGCTGATGCAAGTGCTAGGCTTTTGACAGAATGATAGCGGGGGTGTTTGTGCAACTAAAAAAAACTTCATCTAGTTCTAGTATAGTTTCTGAATGTGTAAGGTCCATTCGAAAACATGTTAAACCTGAGGGTTGTCGGGCAAATAATTCATAATTTGACTTATTATTTGGCATTGCTTATGCATGGTGTGGGTCTGAGGGTCTCGTATGAAATACGCTTTATGATGCAGGCATACAAGGATTGGATTTTGAGGACAATTGAAAACACTTGGAACCTTTTCGACAGAAAATTCGTTGCACTATGGGATACAAACAAGGATTCTGGTGACGCATATCTTCCTGCGATTTATAACAACCCTGGGCTTCTACAGCTTGTACAAAAGAAATTTATTAAAGATCTGCTTCATGACTCCCTTGGTTTTGGTGCTGCGAAAATGATAAGGTGAGACAGCAGACTACAGATTTCTTTATTTCTAGTATATGTTGTCTTTGCCTTGTGTTTACCAATTTCGCTTCCCAGAATGTTGAATAATTCATTATCATAGTTTAATAAATATCTCTATTTATCCATTGTTCAAGCCATTTGGGAACTTACAAGTTCATTTTAATACCAAAGAGGGCAGCTTCTAGACCTGGGAAGACATAGGATGGATTAATTATGATATAATAGTATGTGTTCGCCACCAAGACTCTTTTTCTTTTTCTTTCTCAGTTGAATTTTGAGCAAATACCACCGTCCTAGACAGAAAATTGGACCAGCAAAACTCGCGCTCAAAATAAATATTTCAAGTTGAAGGATGGGTTACTAGAACAAAGACCACACACACAGATGTGTTTTGTGCGGTCTTACTGATTTTCCATGCAGTCAGTGTACTCAATGGCAATTGGAAATCTGCATATAAATATGTAAATTCATTAATATGAATACATATATATATATTTTTATGGGTATATATATTGCACATTCTGTTTCATACTTAGCTCATGTGGGATTATGTTCGATTCTTTGTGGTCTTTAAATTCGTTGTTGAAATTACCAATCAAGAAACTATGGATTTGATTTCTGTAATAATGCTTTTACTTTGTTCTTTTGACAGGAGAATCGTTGGTGTTGCACATGTTGAAGATTTTGAATCAATCGCCGATGCTAGCAAACGGGCAGGTTGTGAGCGTCGGGCTCTTGAGATAGCAAAGTTGCTTCTTAAGGAGAGGAGAAAGTTTCAGGGCATTGCTGAAGTTATTTTAGCCATTCAACAAGTCCAGTAATAACTAATGAGTAATGAGACGACGTTTATGTTTGAAATAGAGATATTTATTAAACTATGATAATGAACAATGGTAATGACTGCTCTTGTACCTTGATAAATATAGATTTTTGGTGTGGCTGTGTGCTGCTTGTACCTTGATTGCTCTGACCATTACCATGACCATATCAAATAAAGGACATGGCTCTTTCAGGTCTTTTATATAATATGTGCTTTTGAGTCTCTGGCCTGTGATTCTGTCAATGCTTATCTGCTCCCAAACTATGTGATCCAAATCTCCAGCCCTTCTCAACTTCTCTTCCTCTGTCTCTTTCAGCTACATGGGTTTTCTTTTCCCTGAAAAAAGGTTTTTTTTCATCTTTTTTCCTTTTTGGATTGGTGTTGGAGAAGATAGAGCGTACTATGAAATGATGACTTGATTTAAGCCTACGTATATGTAGATTTTATGGTATTGAATTGATAAGTGGGTATATATCTGCCATCTGATGAAGCGATGATATGTAAATTCTATCTTTCAAAATTACGCATTTGCAATTTTAAAAGCGAGAATTTTATTGATGATATGTAAACCATCGAAGCTGAAGGTGTCAAGAGGCCCGCCTTCACAAGTAATCGATCACCATCTCCATCAACAGAAACTAGAAGAACTATATCACAATTTTCATCAACTTGTGTATAAGATAACGAGCCAAACATTTTTTGTCCATGGGCTTAAGGCACGTCAGCGTCCCACGTCAGAAGGCCAATGTCATCACTTATGCTAGCAGGAGGAGAGCAACGTCGTCTACTAGTCTTGTGATGAGACTTGGGCAGAGGGAGATGGGCCTGCAAATTACGAGAAACACTTGTGTGAAACGGAAATAGCATTGTTTTGTTATTCCTTATCAATTACGACATGTCACACGTGATAACTTTTTCACGTAGCAATCTGTGATTGGTTGGGGATAGCAAACAGTACTATCCCGTTTCATTCAAGTTTTTCTCGTAAATTACAATCAAGCCCAAGAATCCTTCAGCGCACAAAGATTTTGTCCCACATTGATCATGTATGAGCATTATGTATTGAAAGATAGTGTGGAAATTTTTCTTTCAAGGGTCCAAGTGGGTTTAGGAAAGGGTTAAAAATATGCAATAATTAAGGAAACCGCGGGGGGGGGGGGGGGGGGGGGGATTCCCTGAGGGAAAGGGTAGAAATTGGTTGAATTGTCATTGTAGTCTTACAATTCTTGTAGAGCATAATAGACATCTCAAACTTTCCTAATGGTCCCGGGCAAGAGATTATTCCCAAATCTATAATAAGTAGCCCAATCTATAAGCATAGTAGAACAGTAGCATATCTTAATTCCCAACTGTTTTGTGCAATGCAATATGTTATTATTATTATAATTAGGCAAATTAGTTCACTTAAAATAAAATAAAAAAATTAGCTTTGCGAGATCTAATGCAGATAATATTCTGAAGAGATAAAGCTAGCTCCAATAGTATTTTTGGACCGTCGGTCTGAGATAAGTTATGATCAACAAAAGACAAATATAACCAGACAAGTTCTTTGCTCGAGACAAGAGGGCTTTGACAAATTTTGTCCTTCTGATGACTTATGATTTTAACCATCGAAACTACATTTTGAAGGCAGATTACCAAGAACCAAATCCAAATACATAAGACAATAGTTAAGGCCAAATACCCAACATTCTCTAGCTCATTATTATGTCTTAGCCTGACGTGGATAGTTGGGTAACTGCAAATTCCAGGTTCTGGCACGATTATCCGGCTCTCAGATAATTTAACATGTTATATTATTATATTATGAATCGTTAATCAAGTCGATTCTTATTTAATTTTGTACGTAGTTTAGATTGATAATTTGACAATATATAAATCATGCATATTCTTATTAAGACAATTTATTTATTAATAATACAACAATTTATTCCCTTAAATCAGCCCTTGGCCTGCACGCCCTTAATGTTATCTAGTTTCCATACTTGGCCTTGTACTCAGTCCAGAGCTGATCAACGTTCTTCCCCAGCAAATCAACAAAATAATTAGGACTATAACCACTCCTCAATTTCTTATTCAATTCTGCCACAAACCCATTTCTCAGGCCATTCAAATAGTCCAAAAACCTAGCAGTGACATCATACCCCTGGTCCCACTTGTTCCCCTGACCTGGCTGAACCCAATGGCCTGGCACATACCCTGCTTTGAGCCTCACGTAATCAGCAATGCCTTCAATCAAACCCCCTGGGGCTTGACCGTTCCCATTCCATTGCCACACGTGCGTTGACTCGTGATAAAGCACACCGGTGATCTCCTTCTTCACATCGCCTGAGTAGCCAGCTATGTAGCCTGCGCTGACGTGGATCTCATTGCCCCTAGCAAATGCGACGCCGTCCATGTTTTCAACGATCAAGCTGACTTTGTCCACGCTGTTCCTATCTGCGGCTGCGTTTTGCTGGAATACCCTCCAGATGAAGTCGGCGGCGGAGATCAGAGTTTGCCTGCTGTACTCAGCTCCGATGTCGTTGTTGAAGCGGACGCCGCCGGGGCTTGTTCCCGCGTTGTTGGTGACGACGTAGTCGACTGCATGGGTGCCACGAAGGGGCGCTGCGGCTAGTATTAGGAGCAAGGAAAGGAAACAGATATGGTGAGCCATGGTTATTTGCTTTTGGGTTGTACAAATTATGTGATTTTGCTCTATGGTTTATATAGAGAGTGATGTGTAATATTTCAAGGTCAACAATTTTTTTTTTTTTTTCTTGGGGTGAGTCTTCTAGATAATATAAAGACCAAGTTAACTTTTGATTTTTCTCGTCTTTAATTTCTTTAATTTATCTTATTCTTAACAACTACACCATTTTTTTAAAAATATTTATTTTCATATATCTATATATATATATATAAATTCTCCTATACGAATATTCGGACGTTATTATAGTGCAATTATCATGTACCTTTTAAGTAAATTTAAGTTTTAGCCATAAAAAAAATTTCACTTTTGGAAAAAGCCAAAGCTTTTTCAAAAAAGACAGAAAAATCTCTCAACTTTCAAATCGAAGACATACAAATATAAAGGATTCTTTAGGAAATTCAAAAATAAATAAGGGCAATTTTGTTCATTTTGACTTCTTTTAAAAAATTTCTCTCTCCTTTTACTTTTTCCAAAGTCTCCCTATTTTTTACTATCCCTTTTTATTTTCCTCATTTATAATGACATATGCATAATAATAATATGAAGTGCAGATATCGGAATATAAGTGAATACTATATATTCACTGATGTTATAACACAAATATACTTTATATTTACAAAATATCTATTAAGTTATCTATATGTGACTGAATAACATCATATGTCAGGAAAAGTCTAATGATCCTGATTATTATCCAGAAAAAGCGGGAGGCCCCGCTCTCTCCACGTATCCTTATTGCACCTATAGTTGAAGTTATCCAAAAGTATGTATAACTACACCTAAAAATAAGGACAGCTATAGATCATTGACCTTGACTTGGATACAGGCTTCTCTGCCGGCTAGAATTGAAACCCAGCTGGCTCATTTTATAGGTAATGTTGATGGTCATGGTCATCGACTGACGTTTGTCACTTTGCATTTGGAATAACAGACAAAGCAAAACGCATAATACCAAAAATAAAAACAAAAAACCACGAGCCACTACGGTGCGTCTCAAAATAATAGCAGGAGATTCAATTCATCAAGACTCAGAAGATGAAATTTTAATTTCGCACATAAAGCATTTCTTTCCATTTACTGCAATAACTAAGTATGGCCTCGTTGGATAATCATTTTAATTTTAACTTTTAGTTTTTATATTTTGTGAGAAATTATAAAGGAAAAAGAGGAAGCATGAAAATGAGAATGAAAGTGGAAATGTGATTAAGAGGGGAGATGAAAGGATGGGAAGCCCAAAAGCAGCTTCCAGCAACAAGTGCTGGCCCGGGCAGTGTGGGGTCCACTTGCCTGGGCTGGTCCGAAGGCAGGCTGACGTCAGCATGCGCAATTTTTTTTTTCTTTCCGCTGCCACATGGCGCGATCTGGTCCTTCCGATTTTCGAATTTTCATCCAATCCAACGGCCTGGAATTTTTCAAGGCAAAAAATTATGAAAAAAAATCGTAAATTTTTTTTAAAAAACCCCAAAAAATACTGAATTTTTTTCTATAAATACCAATCCATACTTTTCACTTTTAACAACAAATTCACTTTCTATTCAATAATTTTTTCACTTTCAACTCTAAATTTTTTTCACTTTCAAGTTTAATTATTCACTTTCTACTCAATAATTTTTCACTTTCAACTCTAAATTTTTTTCATTTTCAAGTTTAATTTTTCTCTATCAAAGAAACTATTAAATAAAATTCCTTTTTATTCAAAACATTCCATACATAACAAAAAACTAACCACAACCAAAGCATTAAATATATAAAAACAAACAAACCACAACCAAAGCATAAAATATATAAAAACAAACAAACCACAACCAAAGCATAAAATATATAAAAACAAACAAACCACAACCAAAGCATAAAATATATAAAAACAAACAAACCACAACCAAAGCATAAAAAAACCAAACATAACTAAACATAAAACATAAACATTAAAATCTTAAAAATGTTCTTCACTTCACTTCATTCACCGTCATTGCCTTTCACCGCCCATAAATGCTCCATTAAGTCAACTTGACGGCATTCATGAATATATGAAGATTGCATCTCCGTATATCGATCAATCATACGGTTCATGAAAAGATCATCTCTAACCAACAGTTCATGCTCCACTGGTGCTCCATTTGGCCCTATTGATTTTTCATAAATTCGGGTCAAGGCCGTGTTCATGAGATCAGGTTTGTACACCTCTTCAGCTTCGTAATCATACTCATCCTCCACAATCATGTTATGAAGGATGATGAATGTCATCATGATGCTCTTCAACACCTCCTCATCAAACATACATGCCGCACCCCTAATGATCGCCCATCGAGCTTGGAGGATACCAAAGCACCTCTCCACATCCTTTCTGTAACCCTCTTGATATGTAGCAAATAATTTTTGCTTCTGGGTTCGGGGATGCGAAAGTGATTTCACGAATGTTGTCCATCTTGGGTAGATACCATTAGCTAGATAATACCCTGTTTGGTAGACGATATTATTGACTTCATATGTGATTTTTGGGGCTTCTCCTCTCAAAACATCATTGAACACCGGGGATTGACCCAGGACGTTCAAGTCATTTTGAGATCCTGCAACTCCGAAAAAGGCGTGCCAGACCCATGTATCGAAACCTGCAATGGCTTCAAGGATGATGCTTTTTTAGCCTTTCCGATTTCCGTACTCACTCTGCCAAGCAGTTGGACAATTCTTCCATTGCCAGTGCATGCAGTCGATGCTACCAATCATTCCTGGAAATCCTCTTCGTTCGGCTTTCTGCAGAAGTCGTTGCAGGTCCCTGGGCGTGGGTCGGCGCAGGTAGTCCCTTGTATACAGAATTTCGACTGCATCACAAAATCTAACCAAACTCTCCAAGGCAGTGGATTTCCCCATCCGGGCAATCTCATCCACCTGATCAGCAGATGCACCATACGCCAACATTCGTACAACAGCTGTGAACTTTTGTTCGGGAAGCAGTCCTAAAACACCAGCACAATTTCTCTTTTGAACAAAGTATTCATCATAATTGCAAATATCATGCATAATTTTATTGAACAAATGTTGTTGCATTCTATACCTCTCTCAAAAATGAACATCAGAGTACAGAGATGTTGGGATAAAATAATCTTCCATAAGATTCTTACCCCGAGAATGCCTATGTCTGTCAACATTTAGGGCACGGCCTTCATGTGAACCACGACTGCTCTGGTTTTCTTCATCAAGCATGGCCACAGCCATGACAAGTTGCTTATCTAGATCTCTCTGCGCTCTTTTGCTTGCTGCTCGTCTACGCCTTCTTTCTCTTATTTCTCGCTCTTGCCTCTCCAAGACCTCCTCCATGTCTGACATTGTGAATGGAAGATGAAATATGAAATCTAAAATATGAGAACTGAAATTTTTGAGAAGATGTAGTGTGAGAGGTTTGTGAGCTGAGCCTTTGTTTTATAGAAAAATTTAGGTCGATAGACATGACACGTGGCGCAAGTTGATAGGGTGAAAATCTTATCCGAAATTTGAAATTCAAATGAAATGTATCTGAAATGTGAAATTCAAATGAAAAGTTGAAATTCAAATGAAATTTATCTGAAATTTGAAATTCAGATGACACGTGGCGCAATTTTATAGGGTGAAAATCTTATCCGAAATTTGAAACTCGGATGAAATTTATCTGAAATTGAAATTCAAATGAAATTTATCTGAAATTTGAAATTCAGATGACACGTGGCGCAATTTTATAGGGTGAAAATCTTATCCGAAATTTGAAACTCGGATGAAATTTATCTGAAATTGAAATTCAGATGAAATTTATCTGAAATTGAAATTCAAATGAAATTTATCTGAAATTTGAAATTCAGATTAAATTTATATGAAATTTGAAAAAAAAAATTATCTGAAATTTGAAACCGGAAATCTTATCTGAAAATCTTATCCGAATATTTTATCAAAAAATCTCATCTGAAAATATTATTCAAATTAATTGTTTAGGTAAACAAATTTGTGAAAAAAAACAAAAAAATTGAATAGTATTCCTATTGCCATGGCAACTACTGGAAGTGCAATTTACTTTTTGCAAGGGCAGACACTATTCCCGTGACTAGTGTCAGCCCTAACCCCCCTTTACCATGGTAACATTCTCACTGCTGGAAGTGCTCTTACAAAAAATATAAACTAAAAATATAAACTGAGATGATTATCAAACTGCCCTAATAACTTGCCGAAGTTGGCTGATTAATTTCGCTACAATGAAAGTCTTGGTCAATGAAACCAGCTCATAAAAAGCAAGAATGGATCAAGCCTTGGTTACTTTGGAGAATCGTCATTATCTTTCATCTAGATTGGATCATGGCATAGTTGACGCAAGGGTGATCAGGGCCAAAAAGTCAGCCTCATCAAAGGCTTGCAGCCCACCGACACTTTGAAACTTCAGCGCAGTTCAGTGAACAGGCGATCCGATCTAGAACCTGCCAATGGGTCAAATCATCCCAATATTTAATGCAATAGTAAATTACCAACAATGTAGAACCCCATGAATTTTGATCCTTTAAAACTAGAACCCCCGTTACCAAACCTACGTTGCATGCAATGGCCATTTGCCCTGAATAATATGCCTTAAACTCTGTAATTTGTCATCATTTCATCACAATGATATTTAAACTCTCCTTAACAAGTGTGGCACAAGTGTTTCGGACTCTCTTATTTTTTTCTCATTCGGAAAATATTTTTTTACTAGTTAGGGCGGTGCAGGAACCGATTCTCCAACGAAGGAGGGAATATTAAAAAAAAAAACTCAACGTGGGGATGGGAATGGCATATAGACCCATTGTCATCCCTACCGCTAATGATAGCAAACACATGGAGGTTACTGTATTGTCAAGGAGAGAAGCCTTAAGATCTTACTGAAATAGGTTGTGGCAGTTAGGCCCAACTCTAGGATAATACTGTAAACCCTTGTAACTCAATCCTAATGGCCTGATCGTATCAAATAAAAACATCGCTCTTCTGGTTCTTTTATATAATATATATGC